TCACCTTATGTACTTGAGAAAATGTTAAATTACTTAAGAGAAAAATAATATAAAATAACATTCATTAAAATAAACATGCACATATAATAAAAAAGAATAGCATGGATTTTCATTAAAGATGGGAACCAGGAATTTGGGCCTTCTGAGCCATGTCTTTTGAGTTGTTGACCCTTAGGGTATGTATTCTCTCTCACTTGCCTTCAAGAGCTGGAGAAGTTCCCAATACAGGTGACAGAGTATAAGGAAAATGTTCCAGGCAGTGCAGTGCTATGGTCAGATTTAGTGTGTTTTCAAAAGATCACTCCAACTGTCAGAGTGGAAGATGGATTTGTGGGGTGACAAGACTGGATAAAGAGGTGACTGCAGGAATTCAGATGAAGGATAATGACACCTCAACCAAAGCTGAAGCCATGGTCCAGGAAATAAGGGATGGATTTGTGAAGCTCTAGAGGCCAAATGGTCAGGGCTTCAATGGCACTGATAATCCTTATAGTGTGTCAGGCATTAGTCCACAGACACATGTGAGCTGGCATTATCAGCACTCTTTTACAGGAGAGAAAACTGAGACTATGTGCAGAGCTTATTCATTTGCTTCAGATCATTCAGTTAGCCAATGAAGGAATTAAATTTCAATTACAAAGTCCCACTATTAAAAACCATTAACTAAAATTCAGGAGCTTGAGGAAGCTCTTCCTCATATTCAAAGAAATCCTCCTCTGCTTATTTGAATGCCAACACCTCCTTTTCACTGCCTGTGGAACATTGGAGAGTGGCTACTTAACAGATGCCTCATAAAACCTTGTCACAAACATGAAGGCAGCAATTAAGTCCTCCACTAGCCTTCCACTGTCTGATGAAAGATGGTGCACTTTATATCCACCTCTCAGGAGGAAGCCATAGCTGTGAAATCACATTGGAGCTACTTTTAACCATGTGCTCAATTCTGTGACACTGGTTCTCTGTTACCCATTCCATCTGCTGGAAACCACTGGGCACCACAGACTGGGCATGGAGCCTAATGAAGCAGAGAGAGGCCAGGTGCTCTCACTTTGGGCTAGAAGGCCCACAGCCACCTCAGTGGCAGAGGGAGGGGAAAGACAGTGAAAGACTAGAGATTTAGACTATCATATTAGGGACTTTTGATGGTCATTGAAGGGTAATAGAGCATTTCTAAAATTATGTTTCTGAAGATGCTTCAGTTCTGCTGGATGTTACTAAATGTTCCAGGGGAAATATAGAGTCTGTGGACAAGATGGTATCACAGACACTCAGTTAAACAATGCAGCACTGTTTTCCAGACTTTAGCAGGCTAAAAGCCATTCAGGAATCTCCAAGAGGAAGAGGTAGTGCAGAGAATTTTCAAAACTTTGTTTTGACCAGGTAATTCTTTTGTTCAAGATAATCTTGATTACTGGTAGTAAGCAAGTGTAGAAGTGCAGGCTGATGTACACCATCCTTACTTCTCTCATGCAAAATCCTTATCCAATGGTGGCAGCAAAATCAGAAGTACAATGCAGTTGAACTGTTTTGATAATTATTTAATAGCATTAAATGTGCACCTCACTACATTTGCTACTTGTGAATAAGTCTGTGGGGAAAATGGATTCCTCTGAGGTCAGTACCAGGAAGCTTTGGTTCAGCATGGATTCCTCTTATACCATAACTTTGAAACTTTGATACCATCACTGTCCAGTAATCTTTGACACTAATACATCCACTTGTTCACCAAATATTTATAAAGCACTGTCTATGCATTAGATTAATGAATATGAAATATATATTTAAGTGAGGAAGATACTAAACAAGTAAGGACATAAAAATAATCGCAGACTGGACTACTGCTATGAAAATTGTTCAAAAAAGGGGGGTTGGTGTAACAGGAGTATCGGGTAGAAAAGGAGCAAAACTTCTGATTGGGTAGCCAAGGGAGATGGTGCTGAGGAGCTGACATTTGAGCTGAGAATGGAAAGATGAGAAGGTGCCAGCTAGGAGAGCAGTCCTGGGCAAGGGAAGGTGTAGAAAGAGACATGGCAAGCAGAAGGAATAGCAAATTCTCAGGCTCTAAAACAGGGAACCGTCAGCTCTGTTCATGAAACATGAAGAAAGCCAGTTTGGCTGGAACACAAGAAAATGCAGAGCAAGTGATATTAGGGAAGATGGCAGGAGCCAAATCCATATCGCACAGGGTCTGCAGGCTGTGCTGTAGAGTTTGGATAGCTCTAAGGAGGATGGGAAACTACCAAAAGATTTTAAGCAGGAGGGTGATCTTATCCGGCTTATGTTTCTAAAAAAATTATTCTGGCTGCTTAGAGGGAGACTAAATTACAAAGAGAGTATAGTTGTAAAGAGAAATGACAGTGGTTGTAATCGGTAATGAAAGAGAGAATACATTTTATATACATCGAGGAGATACAAATGGATTCTAGTTCAGAGGCCCCTTCTAACTTGAAAATTAAGATAATTTGACATCTAACCACTATCTATGTCAAATAATAAATATTCATTAATAACTTCACTCTGAAATTCTGCTACAACTGAGTGAAATGGACAGATTCCAAAATGGAGGCCAAATTTTCTGCAAAAAACTTACTATGCGGTATTGCTTATAAGATGAAATATGAGAAACCATCTAAATATTTCATAGTAGAGGCTCCTTAAGAAAATTAAGGTGCATAAAATTAATATTCTTGAAAAATATAAGGATACAATGCTAAGAAATGAAGTCAGATTAGCAGTGAATAGAGGGAGACTACTGACTTAGATTCAAGTGTATTTATAGGTGTGTAACTGAAGGGAGATTTTGGAGGAGATTTCTTGGTGAATGTTGAAGGAATGGAGATGGGTGGGTAAGGCCGAGGGAAATTTTAAGCGACCCTGAATGCTCCACCCAACAAAAAAATCTACGATACCATTGATTTAGTTCCTGACACATGCTGCCTGAATGTTGTCATCATTTCATCGGATTCTCACAGCAATTTTCGAATGTAAAGACTACCATTTTATGCAATGGAAGACTGAGGCTCAAAGATGGCCAATGACTGTCCCAAGCCATACAAGTTGAAAGTGATTATGCTGGGATTAGCAACTTGTGCTTTCTGACTTCAGGGCAACTTCTCTTTACCCCCATGTACTCCATCACTTCCATCTGTTTGGAATTTCACAGGATTAAAAACCTAGATATCCTTTCAACAAATAGCAAGCATCTTCCATCTGTCAGGTATTGGTTTAGGCATAGAAATGTAAAAATCATTCAAACAATAAATCCTTCTACCTTTAAAGAACTCAGCTAAGGAATGGACCACACAGAAGCAAGCTATAATACACAAAAATCAAACAAGTGCTTAATATATCTACATGGAAAACCTGGGATAACTCAGAGTGAATTGTAACTATGGCAATCAACAATGTCTTCATGGAGATGTACCATTCCAGTACTTGGAAAGAGAGGTATTATTTCACTAGTACTGTATGTAGCTAAGCAAAAAGGTTTTGGATCTCAGACTGGTGAGTATTCCCTGGCTCCCACTTACTAGGGTGTCCCCTTAGGGAGGTTACTGGAGCACTTTCTGCCTCAGTGAGATCATCTATAAAATGGGAATTAGTATTATACTTACCTCCAAGAATGGCTCCGAAGATCAAATAAAATAGGATATAATCCCTATTTCTGCCTGGAATAAGTTAAGTGTGAATAAATGGCAAAAATTATTTATAGGGGATGAGGCACAGTGGCTCACACCTATAATGCCAGCTATTCAGGAGGCAGGAGGATCACAATCCAGGCCAGCCAGGGCAAAAACATGAGACCCTGTATGAAAAATAACTAAATGCAAAAAGGACTAGGAGCATGGCTCAAGTGGCAAAGCATCTGCCTAGCAAGCACAAGGCTCTAAGTTCAATCATCAGTACTGACAAAAAAAATTATTTATAGGGACCAGACAGGGAATTTCATGCAGAGCAAATGACATGAGAGGAAACACAGAGGTCAGAGCACATGGATTTAGAGGATATAGCAGAGTTCAGAACTCCATGTAACTTTGAATGTCGTGTTCATAAGCCCAAACGCTTCTGAAAGTGCTACACACTTATACTCAACAGGGATAGTATAATCAGAACCAAGTCATAGGAAGGAGGAGTGAGAGGCAAGAAGAGCAATCAGCTTGAGGCTACTGAGTGTACTGAAAATTAAAAAAACAAAAACAAAAACAGGGTTTCGAAATCAGGTGATAAAGAGTGGGTTTCTTCCATACACAAAGTCAGAATGGGGGATAGACAAGGAAAAAGATGATGATAAAAGAAGAGGAAGAAGAGGACTGGTGGAATGGCTCAAGTAGGAGAGTACCTGTGTAGAAAGACTGAGGCCCTGAATTCTAAACCCATTACCACCAAAATAAACAAACAGAAGCAACAACAGAAGAGAAAAAGAGAAGAAGGAGGAGAGGAGAATGAGTAGGAGGAAAAGTTCAGCTTTTATAAAATGCTGGGCATTGTGCTAAGATTTTGTGACAACTCTGTGGCACTGAAGCCTAATGAGAGCCTAGGAAACAGAGCTAGTTAGCAGTAGAAAACTGAAATTTGAGTGCAGTTTTGTTTAATTTGTTCTAATTACTGTGTTCAGTGGGTACAAATTCCTGTCCTTGGGGCTCCAAGTCCTGGCTCCCAGGCATGGTGGGGGAGGATGTCATGTGGGACTGCTGTGCCTCTCTTGTACTCTCTAGAGTGACAGCAACTTAAAGAGTGTCTGCTGTTTGCAGTTCCTGGTGCTAGAATCTTCCCAGTTATTCTTTCTGATTTTCTCAATCACTTTAAATTCGGAGGGTCCATTCCCATCCTCAGATGAGGAAGCTAGGGCTCAGAGAGTTTAGCTCTACACTGAGTGGCACAGGTGAGCTATCTCCAGGAGGATTTATCAGAGAGAAAGAAAAGCAGAGAAGGTGTTCCAAGATCTCTGGGATTGTGAGGCAGCCTGCTGTCTTCCTGGTGGAGGTGCCAGGAGGTCCTACCTCGAGACTTGCTCCTTCGCTTCCGCTTCCCTGCTGATGCACTGCGTGGGGCTGGCTGCAGCTGGCCGATCTCGATGGGCGTGTTAGCGCGGAAACTCTCCTTGAACTTCTGCATCAGGGACTCCACTGTCTCCTGTGTTGCTTCGGCTGCTGCTACAGGGTGGCAATGGGGCTGAGGTTAGGGCTTGGCTCACCCTTAGCCCCTGGAAGACTAGACTTGGCCACCTTGAGTCTCTGAAACTCCCTCCCTGACCCATTGAAGAAACAAACCCACAAGACATGATCTAAGCAGAGATATAATGTTAGCTGTATTCCATACATACTATGTTCTACACTCTGCCCTAGGCTCTTGGGATATGGTAGAGAAACACTAGACATTTTTCTAGTAGTTGTTAGTTTGGTAGCACACAACTCCAGGCAATTCCAACACTGTGAAACACTTCTGTGATAGGAAAATACATTATTCTTGGGAAGTAACAAGAAGGGTCATTTTACCTATCTAGAAAGGTGACTGCCTTGAGGAGGCAATACCTAAAGGAGATCTTAAAGATGAGGAGAAAGAAGCAGAGAAGGTCATTCAGTGTGAGGTTGGTGAGATCTGGAAAGAGAATGTCCTTGGCAGAAGGAGAAGCCAGTGAGATGATTTGAAGCCTGAAGGAGCATAATTCTTGAACAGGAGAAAGGAGTTTAGTGTGGGCTCAATGGGAAAAATGCAAAAAGGGGGAAGGATACAGACACCTTGTAAACCACATTTAGGAATTTGGATTTTGTCCTAATGTCAAAGTGTTATTGCTGAAAGGATTTAAAGAGGAAAATGATATGTTCAAATTAAGCTAATTTGTTACCAATTACTAATTGGAGTGGGGAGAATGCAAATGGAGGGAGGGAAGGAAGCCAGAAATGAAATGCAAAGAAGCCAGCCAGAGACAATGGTGGCTCAGACCAAGACAGTGGCAGTGAAGTTCACAGGCCATCTTAGTAAATATAATTCCAGCATTGTGGATAAGCAGATCACTTAGCATTACATCCCCATTTTATTGAGTGGAAACTGAGACTTCCTAACAAGTCATACAACTTGCTCCAAGCTGGTAGAGACAAACCTTTCAGCCTTTGGGCCGATGCTCCATCTACAATAACACCTTCCAATGATTTGTTAGTAGCCACATTTCCAATGCTTCAAAATTAAGACTGGTAGGAAATTCCAGTGAAAGAAGAAAGTGAGGTCAGGAAGCAGAGAGTAAAAGGTAGAAGATCAAAGGAAAGAAAACAATGGCAGGGCTTAAGAAAGAAGGAAAGAGAATACATAAAAAGCCAGGAGAGAAAACCAGAAAGAAGAAAAAGGGAAAGTGCTAAATGGCCTAAGTGCCTTTGTTCTGAGAAATTCCCAAAGTGAGTTCTGACTTTGAAATCTTCAAACTGAGCTCTCCCTCCATGTCTCCAGAGGGTAGGAAATATCTTCAGGTCAACTACCTATGTCTGATGTTAGAAGATGGCATGCACCAAGGACTCCTGTACTTTGAAGTGGTTTCACCAAATTAGACAAAGAAGGCTCCTGAAAATCCCAACACCCATTTCTAAGGAGTTCCTGTTTTCCCAGGAATGCTTATCAGTTTAGACAGATGTGTTTATAGGGTTAGTCACACCCGGAGGGCTGATTTGGATATTAGGTTCTGTGGGAAGCCCCATCTTCAGGGACACAGGAGGAATCTTTGATTGCTAAGAAAAAGACAATTGACAATGCAAATGAACCATGTGGTGGCATTATAGCTTCCTCACCTGTCTCTCTTGCTGTCGTTCACCCCAGATAACTCAATTAGGACTATTGAAGGTGATCCAAGGAAATTCCAAACATTAGCTTCTAACTCTAACCTGTGATGGAGAACCCTCCAGCAAGAGGCTACAATATGATTTTGAGAAGCAATATCATGCCCAGTTTGATTCCCTAAACACAAAGAGAAGAGTGATTTGGCTAGAATCATAAGAGGAGGGCTAACCTGTGCTCAAAAGTTCAAAACAAGCATGGTCTGAAATCCTCAAAGGGAGGAACTCCAATAGATATGTTAATATTCATTCATTCACATGTCTCCCCATTTATCCATCCCTTTGTTCAAGAGTGTTTGGAGAAAAGCCATCACTAGTTGGGTTTAATTGCACACACCTGTGATCTAGCACATGGAAGGCTGAGGCAGGAATCTGAGGCAGGAATCTGAGGCCAGCCTGGGCTACATTGCCAGACCCTAAAGAGAGTGATAGATAGACAGACAAACAGATAGAGACATGGAGAGAGAACTTGTGCTTGTCATGCATACCCACTGAGGAAAAGTGATATGACTGCAAAGTGAGAAGGCAACATCTGCAGGCCAGGAAGAGGTCACTCATAAGAACTGACCACATCCACACTTTGATTGACTTCCAGCCTCCAAAACTGTAAGAAAATCATTAAGCTACCTAATTTATAGTAGCCACCTACAGTAGCCCAAGAAGGCTTCAAGAAAAAAAAGGCATATTGGGGATTATGGCTTCAATACATGAATTTGGGGAGGGAGATACAAACATTTAGTCCATAATTAAATACAATGGTAAAAAAAAATCCAAAGGAAATGTTTCATAATGCCTGCCATATAGAAACAATGGCTATGAAGAATTAATACATGACACAAAAATTCGCTATAAAGGAGAGGTGAAGGATGCTATGAAATGTTATATAAGAAGACTACAACTTAGTCTAGAAAACTCATGAAAATTTGCTTCAAGTAAGTGAGCAGTGTGCTTAAGATGTGAAGAGTATACTTAGGTTGGGAGGGAGATGTGGGTGTTGGGAAAGTAAGGTAAGGACAGAAAAAGAGGAAGAGAGAACAGTCTAAACAAAGACCTATGGAGGAGAATGAAGTCAAGGGTCTGCCTTTGGTCACTTGGGCTGAAAAACAGATCAAGGATGTGAAATAATGCAGAAGACTTAGGCCTTACCCTTTGGGTCTTGATAAGGTTGTACCAAGCTGAAAGTTGTAGATCAGGAAGTGGTAAGGTCAGATTTGCCTTTTGGGAAGACTGCTCTAAAAGTTAAGAGAATTAATTGAAAACAAACAGGAATGAAAACAACAAGTACAACTAGAAAGACAGTTTGGCAGTGCAAAATTCCAAGAATGAAGTGATGGCACCCTGGAATGTGGGGCAGCCATGGTTGAGGATAGAGAATGAAATAGAATAGTAGAAAAGAATGAGACACAAGTAGTAAAGTAGCAGAGATTGAGAGATGGGTAAATTTGAGAATTGTAGGTAAATCACCCTCTGAATGTGGTGACAGATTGAAAAAGGGAGACAAGGAGGAGGGAGGGACTGGCCTTCTGGCTTTGCACAGTTGCAGAATGATGGCTCCTCAATGAGAAGAGGAGTACTGTAAGAGCCCATATTTGATAGCAACGAATATGAGATTGGTGTGGGATATGAAAAATTGTGTTCTCTTTGAAACATCTAACTGGAGGGTGAATGTGGTCTATATAAGAGAAATCTGCATGCTGTGGACCTCCATACATGCATACCTTAGAAAAGGTAGAGAGAATATTTGCATAAGAACATGAGCTTCTGGCACAGTTCTCATCTTTGCTTGTTGTTCTGCATTTGTACCCCAGATCCCTCTCACTCTGGAATACATTACCTGACTCCTTGTCATCTGGCTCTTGGTTGGACATGGGCAGTGGGGTGTTCTAGCAGGATATGGGAGGGAAGAATATGGGAACATTTGTTCTCTTGTTGCTTTCCTGTTTCTGTATATTTCTGATATTATACACTGGAACCCTCAATATTATTTGTAGCTTCTAGACCAGGAATGGTGGTTGAAGTCTGTAATCCTAGCTAGTTAAGATGTGGAGACCAGGAATTGAAAGTCAGCCCTGGCAAAAAGTCCATGAGACTCCATCTCAACCACTGGCTGAACGTGGTGATGTGTGCCTGCTACCCCAGCTACGTGGGGAAGCACAAATAAGTGGATCATAGTCCAAGTTGGCTCTGGCATATAAAGTGAGACTCTATCTCAAAAATTACCAAAACAAAAAGGGCTGGTGAAGTGACTCAAATGATAGAGCATCTACCTAGCAAGTATGAGACCATGAGTTCATCCCCCCAGCACAACCAAATAAAAAATCAAATAAACAAAATTACAATTCTTTCCAGGAGCTCTTTCTCTACAATTTCAATTCTCACAGGATCCAATAAAACTACTTCCTATCCCTGCCCCTTCAATTCATGGAGACAATGATGGCTTCCTAACATTTCTTTTTCTTGTACCTTACCTTGATAGCCTTGTGTTGATTCTCTTCACACTAACTATGCCTCCACGAATAGTCACTTCAGTGCATTCTTTTAAAAATCTCATTTGAAGAGGGTTTTTTGTCCAACTGAGACCTTAACTGATATACGAGCCACTGACTGCCACATTTTTCGTGTCTCTGACATTCATCAATTCCCAAAGATCAGCTCTTCCTATCCTGTTATTTCTATTTTCTTTCTCCTAGGCTGCTCTAGGTTTGACTAGCTGAGGGGACAGGAAAACACATAGAGAAAGAAGGCTTGCTCCCCTGAGCTACAATGGTTTTGGATCCTGACTGTAGCAAATCCCATCCACCTGTTTAGTTGTTCTTGTCTTGGCGACAATGCCAAGAGCCCCAACAGGCTTAGAGGGACAGTGCTTATGCAAACCTTTCTGTGGCTGATTTCATCTTGCATACCACTCTCCCCCCTCCAAATCCCCTAACCCCATTCAGTAGCTCTATCAATATCAATATATCAAGTTGTCCAAACAAGCAACATTACCTCCTGGTACCCACTAAGCTCTGCCTCCCAAGAGCAGCAAAATGCTCACCCATCGCCTGGATGAATGCAACAGATGGTGCTTCATGTGAACATCGCGGCAGGCCCAGGAAGGGGAGGGAGAAGAGGGGGAACACTGTCTCTTTCTAATTGACATATGAGAGATTGTTAAGCTTAATGGAAATGAACCACTGGAGCCTGAGGAGAGGACCCCTGCCCCCTAAGCCATGCTAAAGAGAAAGAGAAGACAGAAAAAGAGAGGAGGGAGGAGAAGCAAACAAAAGTGGGAGGGAGACTTATGCTCAATAAAGAATGGCAGGAAACAAGAAAGGTAGGCAAAAGAGGGG